AGAGACCAGAGAGAGAGACCAGAGAGATACCAGAGAGAGACCAGAGAGACCAGAGAGAGAGACCAGAGAGATACCAGAGAGATACCAGAGAGAGACCAGAGAGACCAGAGAGAGAGACCAGAGAGATACCAGAGAGATACCAGACCAGACAGAGACCTGAGAGGGAGAGACCAGAGAGAGATTCCTCTGAACTTATCACTGCTTATATATGAACTTATATATGCAACAATTCAATTAAATGTATTCTTGTATAGCCTTAAATCACAACAGTAGTTATCTCAATTTAAAAGTGAAGGGAAAAGTGAAATCAAAAGTTATCTGTGCGATGGTGGAGAGTAGTGACAGTCGACTGAATTGTCGTATGACGGACAAAAAGCGATTCTGTGACTTTACCTCGTCCAGGACAATCCAGTGACCCTTCTTTAGCGCTGAGAGAAGAGGACCGTCCCGCCAAGCGAACTCTCCCCCTTTACCTCCCTCCACCGGCAGATCAGTGCCAAACAAATCTGTAACATCCTGCACACAACAGGGCAAAATAAAAAAGTTAGATACACATTATGTTTAGGAGAGAATCTATGAAACTCTGACCGTTTGCTCGGACAAGTTGATGCGGACCAGCTGGTTTCCTGATGCTTTAGCTAGTGCTGCTACCAGGCTGGTTTTGCCCACTCCCGGGGAACCCTCCAACAGCACCGGCTTCTGCAGTTTGAGAGCGCGGAGAAGTCTCTGAGCGTTGACCGCGGTGGTGCCAGCTCCGATGGTGTAGTCCGACAGACCGAGGGCGTCGCGCTCAGGACCTGTTCAAAGACCGTGGACAAAATCATTTTAAAGAAAGTCTAACAAATACACACGGCAGAAAACAGAAGAATTCCTGTCCTGGAGGCTCTTTATCAATCCAGACTTTTTAACATTGCCCTGAGAATTATCAATGACTCTTCTGGCCACCCAGGAAAAGCCTTGTTCCAGCTTCTTCCCTCTGGCAGAAGATACTGTTCTCTGAGATGCAGGACATCTCGTTATGCTAATAGTTTTTTTCCACGAGCTGTTATCAGTTTGAATAGAGCACTTTAATGTTTTTGCACTTGTACAGATCTGTTTTAAGTTGGTCAACTTCACAGTGACATTTGTTTACTGTTTTTAAAATTTGTTTTATTTTGTCTTTTAATGTTGTTTTGTGTCTGTACTTGTCCTGTGCACACTGGGAACTTTTACTAATGTATTCCAATGTAGTGTTACTGCAAATGGCGAATAAAATGAATCTGAATCTGAATTTATTTATTTGTTGATATATTTGATAGGGACAAGTGGACACAATCAACATGTGAAACAATGGACAATTTAAATGTTGTAAATTCAAATACATCAAATCCATAATGTTCCAGGTTACCTTCAAATTAAACCAAAATGTTAGTCACTTAAGTCACTTGTATCCTTCAGTTTGAGGCTATGAATAAAATGTACTAATTTCCTCTTCAATAGAATCATGAATGACCCTTTCTTTTCAAGGAATTTTAATAATCCATCCATCTATCTATCTATAGAGCAGGGCCTGGTTAGTGCAGGGATGGGAGACCTTGGCGAATACCAGGTGCCGTTCACCCACATTGCCTCGCCAGGGCAGCTGTGGCTACAGAAGTAGTATCACCACTGTGTTCAAGGTGAATCGACATGTGAAGCATTGAGTGTCCAAGAAAAGCTCTACATAAAACAGATGCTTTATCATTATTATTATTATTATTAAACATTTAGAACAAACCTAAAGCGATGTAAAATGGGTGGATGCCAAAGAAGTGGTCTCCGCTCCGTGGCTCCCGGGGCAGACTTGTGTCGTACACATTAAAAGCCTCCATCACGTCCAGGTCGTGTTTGATCATGTGACCCAGGCGTCGCTGGAGGAAGCCCAGGCACAGTCTGCGGGCGGTGGCAGCGCTGTCTGCACCGGACACTGTGGTTCCTGTAAGAAAACATACACATAATTTATCAGAGACGGGAGATTTTAGGATATTCTGACATTTTTAATATGTTTTTATTTGGAAGCATCAAGCAGGGAAGTGACAAATTGGATTATATAGAAACTATTCTAATCAATACATAAGATTCATACAGACAAAGAATAATAAAAAGGTAGGGAGGGATTCTAATCTGGTTTAATGCATTTTGGCGTCCGCCTGCGTCCGCCTGCGTCCGCCTGTTCTTTGTGGTGCATTGAAACGCTGAGGAGTTGGGTCGTTGGATGTTCTGACCTGAGCCAAGGCTGTCGATGTAAACCAGGCAGGCCGCATGGACGAAGGCTGTGACGGGGTTCAGTCTGAGCTCCCACTCTGAGGACTCGCTCTCCTTTGGTTCACAGACCACGTTCAGGAAAGTGACCCAGGACAGAATGTCTCGAACACTCAGAATACAGCGGCGCCCAAAGTCCTGCTGGGTCAGCCAATCGATGAAGTCCAGCATCAACTCAGCTATGTCCCCCTCTATAATAAAAACAAATCAGCGCATTTACTCCACCGCTGTCAGACTGTACAATAAGTCACTTTATGTCACTAATGCACTAGGACTAAAAATCTGCACTGCCATTTTTTATTTAAATGTACATAATTATATCCTGAACAGACTCATTGACTCCCAGCTGTTTTTGATGATTTCACTGATTTTCAAGACTAAAAAAATATTATGTGCTATGACTGTGTGAAATATGAAACCAGATTCTGAACTGACTGGATTGTCTACTTTCATCAGCAAAAATAAGTTTGTTTCTAGCTGGTTTTGTTCTCCTGTAATCCCCAGTGGAACAGAAATCTCCAGTCTCAGACAAATACGTCAGTGGCAGTCCATCAGTCAATATGTTGCACACTTCTGTCTTTTGCACAATCTGAGTGAATCTATCTGTGCCAAAGTGACTTGTACATTTCTCCAGTGTGAGACCAATAAAGTCTGTCTGATCTCGTTTTAAATGGTTACCGTCGAGCGCGATGCCTTTGTGCAGGTTGTGCTGGATGATCTGGAGCAGGTCGTTGCGGTTGTTGTTTTGTGGACACCAGATCTCAGTGAAGCGGTTCCTTAGAGCAGGCGACAGCTGTTCCAGACACAGTTAAAAAAGGTGCGTCATGAATGCAAAACCTACTGATACACTGGGATAGGTTTCCTCTGGGTGCTCCGGTTTCCCCTACCACTAAAACATGTGCAATAGGTGTGGCATGTGCCTCCTGTGACCCTGCTCACGTCTCTGTGTGGAGTGAGAGACTAATGCCCACAACAATTTGAAAGCACTTTTTCACTCTGGAAAGCTGCTATATAAATAAAGATTTGTTGTTTACTTAATAAATTCCCACGGCTGGTTAGAATTTAAGCAATAGTTATTAGAAAGAAAACAGTACAGTTCATAATTTAAAGAACTTCCAGTATTCCCATGTCTGTAGGAAGTGTAATGAGTGTACACAGTCCATGGAACATAGAGTTCAATTCATAAATCCCAAAAACAGTCATGTCTGAGGAAAGTTTTCGATTCACCAACAACAGATCAAAGAATCAGTTGGAAGTTAACACCGGAAACGGAATAACAACAAACACATAGGAGCCGTTGGTCCATAGGGAGCAGGATGATTAATGAAAAGTGGTCAGGGAACCCGAAGGAAACCTAGGCAGACACGAGGAGAACATGCAAACTACACAGAGAAAGGCCTTGTGCCAACCAGGATTCGAACCCAATGACCTCGGAATTTTACTTTGGCATTTTACCTAAATAAACTTTTTGAAAACTAAGTAAGTAAGTAAGTAAGTAAGTAAGTAAGTAAGTAAGGTTTATTTATATAGCGCCTTTCACAGACCAGAGTCACAAAGCGGTTTACAATTGTTATTTTTTTTTGGGCAATTGTCTCTCACTCCACACAGAGAAGGGAGCGGGGCCGCATAGATTTTTAGTGGTAGGGGAAACCGAAGTACCCAGAGGAAACCTACGCAGACACGGGGAGAACATGCAAACTCCACTCAGAAGGCCCTGGTCCGACCGGGATTCGAACCCAGGACCTTCTTGCTGAGAGGTGAGAGTGCTATCCACTCAGCGAGCACTCACGAGCAGTTCCTTGAATGAAAGATAGAAAAGATCCACCATTTTAAACTACCTCTTTCTTCCCGAAGTCTCCTCCTGGGTTCATGGTGGCCACCAGACGGAAATCCGGAGCAGCGTGTAGTAACTCCACTTTGTCGTCGTCGCTGCCTTTCTCTGCCAGCACCAGGCTCTTCTCAGTCTCAAGAACACTAAAGCAGAGAGATTATTCAGTTTATTGTGTAAACATCAGTGTCTGTTTGAGTATGACCTGTGTGTAGTGTAGGCAAGACCAATGTATTTGTATAGCACAAGAGTTGCCATAAATAATCACAGTACATTAACTCATTAACTGCAGCCGTTTTTGATGATTTCACTGATTTTCAAGACTCAAAACATATTATGTGCTATGACTGTGCGAAATATGAAACCAGATTCTGAAAGACTGGATTGTCTACTTTCATCAGCAAAAATAAGATTGTTTCTTGCTAGTTTTGTTGTCCTGTGATCTTCAGCCGAATAGAGGGAAGGTTGACAGAAATGACCAGTCTCAGACAAATATGTCAATGGCAGTCAATGAGTTAAAGGTCCTCTGTTTAAGTTTATAGTGTAACATATTAACCAAAATAATGTGTCCTTTTTAAGAATATTAACCTCCATGTGTTTGAATTGTGGTCATAGACTTTGACTTATAAATGTCCACGAGGCTGAGGACTCTGTGTCAATGCTCCATCTTGAAAAACAGAGGCTGATAAGGGACAAAAAGCAGTTTGTGCGCGAGTTGGGGACCACTGTCAAAGTCCACATATTGTCCTGCAAAGCTACCGTAAATTACAATATATGATCTTAATGCTAGATGGGGGTAAAAACTACACAGTGGGCTTTAACCCTCTGGGGTCTAGAGCGTCGGATCCGACTCCTGCGCACATGTTTTATAAATGTTCAATTTTCTCATGAACGGCAAAACGTAGCGACTTACTTTTTTTTTCTCCGTGAAGTACACATAAATATGAAATGCTGCCTCCTGTGTTTAGTCCTTACTCAGAGTCCCAGCAGGAGGCCAGTCCCTGTGCTCCTCAGAGTCCCAGCAGGAGGCCAGTCCCTGTGCTCCTTAGAGTCCCAGCAGGAGGCCAGTCCCTGTGCTCCTCAGAGTCCCAGCAGGAGGCCAGTCCCTGTGCTCCTCTGAGTCCCAGCAGGAGGCCAGTCCCTGTGCTCCTCAGAGTCCCAGCAGGAGGCCAGTCCCTGTGCTCCTCAGAGTCCCAGCAGGAGGCCAGTCCCTGTGCTCCTCAGAGTCCCAGCAGGAGGCCAGTCCCTGTGCTCCTCAGAGTCCCAGCAGGAGGTCAGTCCCTGTGCTCCTCAGAGTCCCAGCAGGAGGTCAGTCCCTGTGCTCCTCAGAGTCCCAGCAGGAGGCCAGTCCCTGTGCTCCTCTGAGTCTAGAGTTGGTTCATATGCCACTAACATTTCACGGATGTACTTTGCTACATCCGTACATGTCTCTCCTTGGCCACGAAGCAGAGGTGCGGTGCGGTGTGAGATGGTATGGTATGGTATGGTCTGGAGGTTGCATAAGTAGGTGGTAGGTGTTGCACCTGTTCAGTCTCTCCAGGACAGAATCATCGGCCAGAGAGATCTCGTCCATCAGAAAGACTCCGCCCTCCTTCAGCGCCAGCACCAGAGGCCCATCGTGCCACTCAAACAGGCGGCCGTCATCTTCCTCAGTCTGATCACACACAGTTAACCATGACACATGATATTATACCAATTAGACCAAAGATCAATATATGTACAGCCCTGTGTCCACCAGCCCGACATGTCCCTACGCTACTCTTCCCCGATTGGCAGAGTTTCCACTGGCCCCGTTTAACCAGTACCGCTTCGCCCTGTTTCTATCCAGGCCGAGCTGGTAATGAAGTGTTCTAACTGACTGTGATTGGCCGGAATACTGCTGCTCTGTTGTGGGTAGGTTTCTCGGATACAGTACTAGACATTAAACAAGATGGCGAAACAAGATGGCGCCTTACATGGTCGCCTCGGCTCTTCAGTGCGCTCTTTTCTTATTTTTCTGCTTTAATCTTTAATCTCTTTAGTTTCTGCCTGCTCCTGCACCCGTGAGGAGATTCTGACCTTAGAAGTGTTGCTGATTATTATAATGGCTTACTCTATTCTTTACCTCTGTTCTTTGACTGTTGCACCGAGCCAAAGCTGGTTCCTGTTACATACATGGAAATAAAAACTATTCTGATTCTGACTCTAAAGCGTAATGGAAAACACAACCAGGTAGAGTAGAGCCGAGTAGAGCCGAGTAGAGCCGAGTAGAGCCGAGTAGAGCCGAGTGGAGCTGGTGGAAATGAGGTTTGTGCGTCTACACCTGGTTTGTGCGTCTATACCTAGTTTGTGCGTCTACACCTGGTTTGTGCGTCTATACCTAGTTTGTGTGTCTACACCTGGTTTGTGTGTCTATATCGGGTCTGTGTGTCTATACCTGGTTTGTGTGTTTGTGTGTCTATACCTGATTTGTGTGTTTGTGTGTCTATACCTGGTTTGTGCGTCTACACCTGGTTTGTGTGTCTATACCTGGTTTGTGTGTCTATACCTGGTCTGTGTGTCTATACCTGGTCTGTGTGTCTATACCTGGTCTGTGTGTCTATACCTGGTCTGTGTGTCTATACCTGGTCTGTGTGTTTGTGTGTCTATACCTAGTTTGTGCGTCTACAGCTGGTTTGTGCGTCTATACCTAGTTTGTGCGTCTACAGCTGGTTTGTGTGTCTACACCTAGTTTGTGCGTCTACAGCTGGTCTGTGTGTCTATACCTGGTCTGTGTGTCTATACCTGGTCTGTGTGTTTGTGTGTCTATACCTAGTTTGTACGTCTACAGCTGGTTTGTGAGTCTATACCTGGTGTGTGCGTCTGTACCTGGTTTGTGCGTCTATACCTAGTTTGTGCGTCTACAGCTGGTTTGTGTGTCTACACCTAGTTTGTGCGTCTACAGCTGGTTTGTGCGTCTATACCTGGTTGGAGTGTCTATACCTGGTGTGTGCGTCTGTACCTGGTTTGTGCGTCTATACCTGGTTGGAGTGTCTATATCTGGTGTGTGCGTCTGTACCTGGTTTGTGCGTCTATACCTGGTTGGAGTGTCTATACCTGGTTGGAGTGTCTATACCTGGTGTGTGCGTCTGTACCTGGTTTGTGCGTCTATACCTGGTTGGAGTGTCTATATCTGGTGTGTGCGTCTATATCTGGTGTGTGTGCGTCTATACCTGGTGTGTGCGTCTATATCTGGTTTGTGCGTCTGTACCTGGTTGGAGTGTCTATATCTGGTGTATGCGTCTGTACCTGGTTTGTGCGTCTATACCTGGTTTGTGCGTCTATACCTGGTTGGAGTGTCTATACCTGGTTGGAGTGTCTATACCTGGTTGGAGTGTCTATACCTGGTGTGTGCGTCTGTACCTGGTTTGTGCGTCTATACCTGGTTGGAGTGTCTATATCTGGTGTGTGCGTCTATATCTGGTGTGTGCGTCTATACCTGGTGTGTGCGTCTATATCTGGTTTGTGTGTCTGTACCTGGTTGGAGTGTCTATACCTAGTGTGTGCGTCTATATCTGGTTTGTGTGTCTGTACCTGGTTGGAGTGTCTATACCTGGTGTGTGTGTCTATATCTGGTTTGTGCGTCTATATCTGGTTTGTGCGTCTGTACCTGATTGGAGTGTCTATACCTGGTGTGTGCGTCTGTATCTGGTTTGTGCGTCTGTACCTGGTTGGAGTGTCTATACCTGGTGTGTGCGTCTATATCTGGTTTGTGCGTCTGTACCTGGTTGGAGTGTCTATACCTGGTTTGTGCGTCTGTACCTGGTGTGTGCGTCTATATCTGGTTTGTGCGTCTATATCTGGTTTGTGCGTCTGTACCTGATTGGAGTGTCTATACCTGGTGTGTGCGTCTGTACCTGGTTTGTGCGTCTGTACCTGGTTGGAGTGTCTATACCTGGTGTGTGCGTCTATATCTGGTTTGTGCGTCTGTACCTGGTTGGAGTGTCTATACCTGGTGTGTGCGTCTATATCTGGTTTGTGCGTCTGTACCTGGTTGGAGTGTCTATACCTGGTGTGTGCGTCTATATCTGGTTTGTGTGTCTGTACCTGGTTGGAGTGTCTATACCTGGTGTGTGCGTCTATATCTGGTTTGTGTGTCTGTACCTGGTTTGTGCGTCTGTACCTGGTTGGAGTGTCTATACCTGGTGTGTGCGTCTATATCTGGTTTGTGCGTCTGTACCTGGTTGGAGTGTCTATACCTGGTGTGTGCGTCTATATCTGGTTTGTGTGTCTGTACCTGGTTTGTGCGTCTGTACCTGGTTGGAGTGTCTATACCTGGTGTGTGCGTCTATATCTGGTTTGTGCGTCTGTACCTGGTTGGAGTGTCTATACCTGGTGTGTGCGTCTATATCTGGTTTGTGTGTCTGTACCTGGTTGGAGTGTCTATACCTGGTGTGTGCGTCTATATCTGGTTTGTGTGTCTGTACCTGGTTTGTGCGTCTGTACCTGGTTGGAGTGTCTATACCTGGTGTGTGCGTCTATATCTGGTTTGTGCGTCTGTACCTGGTTGGAGTGTCTATACCTGGTTTGTGCGTCTGTACCTGGTTTGTGCGTCTGTACCTGGTTTGTGCGTCTGTACCTGGTTGGAGTGTCTATACCTGGTGTGTGCGTCTATATCTGGTTTGTGCGTCTGTATCTGGTTTGTGCGTCTGTACCTGGTTGGAGTGTCTATACCTGGTGTGTGCGTCTATATCTGGTTTGTGTGTCTGTACCTGGTTGGAGTGTCTATACCTGGTGTGTGCGTCTATATCTGGTTTGTGTGTCTGTACCTGGTTTGTGCGTCTGTACCTGGTTGGAGTGTCTATACCTGGTGTGTGCGTCTATATCTGGTTTGTGCGTCTGTACCTGGTTGGAGTGTCTATACCTGGTGTGTGCGTCTATATCTGGTTTGTGTGTCTGTACCTGGTTTGTGCGTCTGTACCTGGTTGGAGTGTCTATACCTGGTGTGTGTGTCTATATCTGGTTTGTGCGTCTGTACCTGGTTGGAGTGTCTATACCTGGTGTGTGCGTCTATATCTGGTTTGTGCGTCTGTACCTGGTTGGAGTGTCTATACCTGGTGTGTGCGTCTATATCTGGTTTGTGTGTCTGTACCTGGTTGGAGTGTCTATACCTGGTGTGTGCGTCTATATCTGGTTTGTGTGTCTGTACCTGGTTGGAGTGTCTGTACCTGGTGTGTGCGTCTATATCTGGTTTGTGTGTCTGTACCTGGTTTGTGCGTCTGTACCTGGTTGGAGTGTCTATACCTGGTGTGTGCGTCTATATCTGGTTTGTGTGTCTGTACCTGGTTTGTGCGTCTGTACCTGGTTGGAGTGTCTATACCTGGTGTGTGCGTCTATATCTGGTTTGTGCGTCTGTACCTGATTGGAGTGTCTATACCTGGTGTGTGCGTCTATATCTGGTTTGTGCGTCTGTACCTGGTTGGAGTGTCTATACCTGGTGTGTGCGTCTATATCTGGTTTGTGTGTCTGTACCTGGTTTGTGCGTCTGTACCTGGTTGGAGTGTCTATACCTGGTGTGTGCGTCTATATCTGGTTTGTGCGTCTGTACCTGGTTGGAGTGTCTATACCTGGTGTGTGCGTCTATATCTGGTTTGTGCGTCTGTACCTGGTTGGAGTGTCTATACCTGGTGTGTGCGTCTATATCTGGTTTGTGCGTCTGTACCTGGTTGGAGTGTCTGTACCTGGTGGGTGCGTCTATATCTGGTTTGTGTGTCTGTACCTGGTTTGTGCGTCTGTACCTGGTTTGTGCGTCTGTACCTGGTTGGAGTGTCTATACCTGGTGTGTGCGTCTATATCTGGTTTGTGCGTCTGTACCTGGTTGGAGTGTCTATTACCTGGTGTGTGCGTCTATATCTGGTTTGTGCGTCTGTACCTGGTTGGAGTGTCTATACCTGGTGTGTGCGTCTATATCTGGTTTGTGCGTCTGTACCTGGTTGGAGTGTCTATACCTGGTGTGTGCGTCTATATCTGGTTTGTGTGTCTGTACCTGGTCTGTGTGTCTATACCTGGTTTGTGTGTTTGTGTGTCTATACCTGGTTTGTGCGTCTATACTAGTTTGTGCGTCTACAGCTGTTTGTGTGTCTACAACTAGTTTGTGCGTCTACAGCTGGTGTGTGCGTCTTAGTGTCTACGGTTACCTGTGCGTCTATATGGTTGGAGTGTCTATACCTGGTGTGTGCGTCTATATCTGGTTTGTGTGTCTGTACCTGGTCTGTGTGTCTATACCTGGTTTGTGTGTTTGTGTGTCTATACCTGGTTTGTGCGTCTATACCTAGGTTGTGCGTCTATACCTGGTTGGAGTGTCTATACCTGGTGTGTGCGTCTGTACCTGGTTTGTTGCGTCTGTACCTGTTGGAGTGTCTATACCTGGTGTGTGCGTCTATATCTGGTTTGTGTGTCTGTACCTGGTTGGAGTGTCTATACCTGGTTTGTGCGTCTATATCTGGTTTGTGCGTCTGTACCTGTCTGTGTCTGTACCTGGTTGGAGTGTCTATACCTGGTGTGTGCGTCTATATCTGGTTTGTGTGTCTGTACCTGGTTGGAGTGATAAACCTCTTCTTAAATCTATTCTATCTATACCATATCATCCGTGTATAAACCACTTCTGTTTACTAATATCTCCGGTTGGGATTAACCACTCTTCTTCTCCTATAAATCTCCTGTTTATAAACCACTTCCTCACTAACTCTTATCGCCGTGTATAAAACAATATAGCGTCATAACGTTGATCTGCCGGTATATAAATCACTGCGTCTGCTTCTAGTTCTCTGGTGGTGTTTTCCCAGGAAGGTAGGCTCCCCTGGTCCCATCCATTTGTGCTACAGGAGTCAACTGCGCAGGTAGTATGTGGTTATCTCAAGTATTCGTGGAATCATAGATCACATGGTCCTCCAAAACTTAAGCACGGACGCTCACAAATAGTCAAGCTCGTCCCCAACCACGACTGCCAGCCCCTCATGCTGAGGACCCTAATAACAACATATACGGATAGCATCTGGGAATCTCCTTGAGGTGTCGTCGAGGCAACTGTCCAGTCCAAGGCAGTTGTAGTGAGTAGGCAACAGAGGTTATTAGGGTGAGTTTATGGAGCTTTGGGGTAATAATTATTTCAAGCCGTGCGGAACTTTATTCACAGTCGGGGGCAGAAGTCAGTATTTTTTCTATGTCAGTTTTTTGTTCTAATGTCGAGCAAACTTTTGGGTGTTTCCCCTTGTTATAGAAGCAAAGGGTAGAAAACCTTCATGGTCGGGGCCAAATCAAATAGGTTAAGATCGGGTTGGGCCAGAATGTAGAAGGGGGTATAACAGGTTTTGATGATCTGTACTGTGCGGCACGGTGGCTGAGTGGATAGCACTCTCTCGCCTCGCAGCAAAAGGGTCCCTGGGGTCGAATCCCGGTCGCCAGGCCTTTCTGAGTGGATTTGCAATGTTCGCCCCGTGGTTCTGTAGTTGGTTTCCTCGGGTGCACTCCGGTTTCCCCTACCACAAAAAATATTCCAATATCTGGTTACTTGAGTGGGCTAGGGGTTCCTTAATGTGTGTACTCCCGTACTAAATAGTCTGACTCTAGAGCTATTTATACTATTTTGGGTCGCAGGGCTATACTTTTACTCACACAAAGATATTCCAAACAGATACAAATACCTGAATTAACTTAACACCAGACACGAGGTAAGTATAAAAAAATCCCCTCCCTTTAATTACAAAAGAAAATAATAAAGCTCAAAATCCAGTTAAATGCACATTTCAAGGGACTGTAACATAAACAATGCTCACAGACACAATGAATACATTACAATTTAACTAAAGCCGGCATCTATATACACCCTACGTTGCAGGCCTGTATCGATGCTTGGGTGCGGTGAGACCAAAAACTGATGGTCGCTTCACTCACTGAGCAAAATAAACAAAAAGAAAGAAGGTACCTTGTGTACAGCGTTTATTCAACCGATACTTGTAGTTCAGCTCCGGATCTTTCCTCGCGTTGTCCTCTCAGTGCTCAGCGGGCTCCGGGCAGTGGTGTGGCGTCAATGGCGGTGCAGGTGCGCGGTCCCACCCGGTCCAATACGTCTCGTCCCGCCGCTGTTTCCCACGTAGCCAGAGGTACTCTGAGCGTCGCGGGCACTCAGAGTGCTATCTGGGATCCGTCTGTCTCGTTGTCCAGTTCGGCAACGATCCACCGTCAGCTTCTGCGGTTTCGCGGGGTTGGCGAACCGTAGCCTCAGTCTTTGATATGAGGTTGTTTTTTTACAATCTCAATAAGCAAGTAATAAGCGATGAAAACACAGTCCATAAGCTCCGAGTTGAAACTACTGAGTTTTTATCGCACTTCACTCTCCCGATGGCTTCTTTTCTTTTTTTAAAAACACCACGGTACAAAAAAAACTTTCTCTTAAAACACGACGTTAGCTCACACTGTCCTCCGAGCATCTCTCGAACTTTCTCCCTCTCTCTCTCACACAACGTTGCGTCACCTTCACTGACCATCCAAGAATCAGAAGAAACAGCACTTTTACACATGTACAAAATAGTAAATAAAATAAATATGAATTATGCATTTTAACACTTGTAAATATGTTTAATCATTTTTTAATGAACAATCTATGCTAATGAATTATCAAAAACAATGAATTCTCTTTAACCTTTTTATAACTTAAATATGTTACCACTTTTATTCACTTTTAACACTGCGATTATTATCCGGGTTACACCCACGTATGACACTAGTGTAAATATCCTCATGGGTTCACATGGAGAAATGTTACCTTCAGGTGAGAGCCAGATCCCATCCGGTCTCTGAAACTAAGCAGGACAGGGCCTGGTCAGTACTGAGATGGGAGACATCACAGAACTGGGAACACAGTGGGGCGGCTGTAAAGTGTCCCTATAAGCAAGACACTTCACATTCCCAACCAAATAAGTAATGCATAAATAATAAGGTGGCGGTTAGCTGTGCTTCTAAGTTCTGTCAGAAGAAATGTTACAATGTACTATGTACTTATGTATGTTTTTTAACCTACTGCTGCCACTGCACACTTGGGGCAGGATGACGAAAGCATGCATCTGGTTTAGTTTGGTAAATGTGATATTCTGTGTTTGAAACACTTTGGTCGCTGCTTTTGTTTTGTTCCAATCAAAAAGCAGAAAAACAATTATTCCGCAAATATGAAAAGGCCAGCGTTTGTTGGGACCGTCCTGTTCAAAGGTTCCTCCTGGAATTATCTGAACCGAGATACGGTCAAATAAGAGCAAACATAAAAAGCATTCATCATTTCTTTTTCCCTCAAAAATGATTCAAATGACGTTTACAGCCCATTATCACAACAGTAATCACACCTCTCTCTTCCATCGCGTCCTCAGATATTTGCCTCAGGGCGTTGGAATGTTCCTTTATGGACATATACAGCCTGGGTCTGGGTGGGGGTCACATTCCACAGTCTATGTTCCACCGTATGTTTGTCACTGGTTAATTACAGACCTTCGCAATGACAAGTCCGATAACGGGAAGTGGCTCTGCCTTTTCCCACGGACGGCTTTAGGTGAAACAGGTCTGAGAATGGCGTCAGATAAACAGCATCGTGCTCTCATCCCAACGGTATGTGACATCACTCCTTCTCGCTCTCCTCTGTTCAGGGTTTTTGTGTTGGATAAACCGGTGTCGAAGCGGCTCAAACCGACTCACCTGAGCAGAGAGGGCCGTGTCATGGTTTGTCATCCTCTCCTAGACACGCTGCAGTGAACGCCATGACCATATATGGGGGTGTCAGGGGGGGCCAATGGGGGGGCGTGGTCGGACCTGCACTCAGCCTCACAACCACATGAATAGTTTCTGATTCTGGTATAAACACAGATGAATCACCAGAATACTACACGCGTTATTACACAATGGTCTTGTTTGTTGTTTTTGCCCTTCCCTTTCCCCAAGATACAGTTTGATATGTGAGACCATAGCTGCAGGTGATAACCAGATCCTGGCAGAACTCTGAGGCTAAGCTGGGCAGGGCCTGGTTAGTGCTGTGATGGGAGACCTCTGGGAACACCGGGTGACGCAGGGGGGCGGCTGCGGTTGTTAAGAGCCAAACTGTGATCGTGGCAAGACACTTCACCCACTTTAGAATGAGTCTGGTAGGTGTGTGTGTGGTTGGTGGAGGCCAGAGGGTCCGATGGCACAGACTGGTTGCTACTGTCAGTGTGCCCCAGGGCAGCTGTGGCTACAGTTTATCACCACTGGTTGTAGAATGAATAAATAATGCCATGTGCAGCATCTTTGAGAGTCCAAAACAGCTCTAGTCTTAGGTTTCAACAAACTGGCCTGTAGGGGGCGCATGAGCAGAGGTGGGACAGTACCACTTCTATACTATATCTCCGTGTATAAACCACTTCTTCTTCTACTATATCTCCGTGTATAAACCACACTTCTTCTACTATATCTCCGTGTATAAACCACTTCTTCTTTCTTCTACTATCATCTCCGTGTATAAACCACTTCTTCTACTATATCTCCGTGTATAAACCACTTCTTTTACTATATCTCCGTGTATAAACCACTTCTTCTTCTACTATATCTCCGTGTATAAACCACTTCTTCTACTATATCTCCGTGTATAAACCACTTCTTCTTCTACTATATCTCTGTATAAACCACTTCTTCTTCTATATCTCCGTGTATAAACCACTTCTACTATATCTCCGTGTATAAACCACTTCTTCTACTATATCTCCGTGTATAAACCACTTCTTCTACTATATCTCCGTGTATAAACCACTTCTTCTTCTACTATATCTCCGTGTATAAACCACTTCTTCTTCTACTATATCTCCGTGTATAAACCACTTCTTCTACTATATCTCCGTGTATAAACCACTTCTTCTACTATATCTCCGTGTATAAACCACTTCTTCTACTATATCTCCGTGTATAAACCACTTCTTTTACTATATCTCCGTGTATAAACCACTTCTTCTTCTACTATATCTCCGTGTATAAACCACTTCTTCTACTATATCTCCGTGTATAAACCACTTCTTCTTCTACTATATCTCCGTGTATAAACCACTTCTACTATATCTCCGTGTATAAACCACTTCTTTTACTATATCTCCGTGTATAAACCACTTCTTCTTCTACTATATCTCCGTGTATAAACCACTTCTTCTACTATATCTCCGTGTATAAACCACTTCTTCTTCTACTATATCTCCGTGTATAAACCACTTCTTCTTCTACTATATCTCTGTGTATAAACCCGGCAGACTGCACCTCCAGGTCCTACCTTTGTTCTTCGCGTCACTGCTCTGACGTCATATGAAACACAAGAATACGTGAAAGCATCTTACCCAGTGTCTCCAACCAACAGCACGGACTCTCCAAATCTCAGAGCTCGTCCCACCAACACTGCCAGCCTCCTCATGCTTTGAGTCCAAACCACATGACGGAACTCATCTGGGACTTCCTCCATGGAGTCGACGAGTTCACCTGGACCAGACCAAGGCAGTAGGAAGTGATTAGCAAGCCTTAGGTGAGTTAGGTTGAGTTAGTATGGATCTTTGTGTGAAAATATATTAAAGCCGAGCTGGACTTTACGACAGTCTGCAGAAGTCAGTAATTTTCTATTTCATGTTTTTGTCTGAAAGTCGAAGCAAACTTTTGGTTGGTCTTGGTATGAAGCAAAGGGTATAAAACTCTTCATGGTCGTGGGCCAAATTCAAAAAGTTAAGATCTGGTTGGGGCCAGAAGTATAAGTGTTATAAAAGTTTTTGATGAATGTACTGTGGCGGCACGGTGGCTGAGTGGATAGCACTCTCGCCTCTCAGCAAGAAGGTCCTGGGTTCGAATCCCGGTCGGACCAGGGCCTTTCTGAGTGGAGTTTGCATGTTCTCCCCGTGTCTGCGTAGGTTTCCTCCGGGTGCTCCGGTTTCTCCTACCACTAAAAATATGTCCAATAGTTCTGGCATGCGCCTCCTGTACTGGCCCCTCCCATCTCTGTGTGGAGTGAGAGACAAATGCCCAAAATTAACAATTGTAAACCGCTTTGAGACTCAGATCTGCAGTGAAAAGGCGGTAAATAAATAAAGATTACCTTAAGATTTACATTGGATCAAACTGTTTTCTAAGTGCACACAGACGCCACTCACTGAACTGGCCGTGGAGCTGTTGGTGAGAAAACAGACTGTCCGGCAGAATGCGTCGCTTGAAGTGCTTCTCGATGATTAACCGGATGGTGGTGTCCTCCTCAGGCTTCCGTACACGTCCTGCCAGCAGCATGTATCCTGCGACCAAGAAAATCATAGTTTCTTCAAGAATGAGACGTTTATGGAAACTCATGGTGAGACATGATGCGTGCTGAAGGCTGAGATACAATCGAGAATTAAACCAACATGATATAGTAGCAATAACTAGACCAGAGCAGAGAAAATGGTCCGAACCAAGCAGCTAATCCTTGTGACCCGTCCTGCTCCACCCAGAGGCTACTCCACCTCTGCTGCTGTGACCCGTCCTGCTCCACCCAGAGGCTACTCCACCTCTGCTGCTGTGACCCGTCCTGCTCCACCCAGAAGCTACTCCACCTCTGCTGCTGTGACCCGTCCTGCTCCACCAGAGGCTACTCCACCTCTGCTGCTGTGACCCGTCCTGCTCCACCCAGAGCTACTCCACCTCTGCTGCTGTGACCCGTCCTGCTCCACCCAGAGGCACCCACCTCTGCTGCTGTGACCTCCTGCTCCACCAGACTACTCCACCTCTGCTGCTGTGACCCGTCCTGCTCCACCCAGAGCTACTCCACCTCTGCTGCTGTGACCCGTCCTGCTACCGAGCCCCACCTCTGCTGCTGTGACCCGTCCTGCTCCACCCAGAGGCTACTCCACTCCTGTGACCTCTGCTCCACCCAGAGGCTACTCCACCTCTGCTGCTGTGACTGTACCTTGCGTGACCCGTCCTGCTCCACCCAGAGGCTACTACTGCTGCACCTCTGCTGCTGCTGCTGTGACCCGTCCTGCTCCACCCAGAGGCTACTCCACCCCTGCTGCTACCGCTGCCCGTCTCTGCTCCACCCAGAGGCTACTCCACCTCTGCTGCTGTGACCCGTCCTGCTCCACCCAGAAGCTACTCCACCTCTGCTGCTGTGACCCGTCCTGCTCCACCCAGAGGCTACTCCACCTCTGCTGCTGTGACCCGTCCTGCTCCACCCAGAGGCTACTCCACCTCTGCTGCTGTGACCCGTCCTGCTCCACCCAGAGGCTACTCCACCTCTGCTGCTGTGACCCGTCCTGCTCCACCTCTGCTGCTGTGACCCGTCCTGCTCCACCCAGAGGCTACTCCACCTCTGCTGCTGTGACCCGTCCTGCTCCACCCAGAGGCTACTCCACCTCTGCTGCTGTGACCCGTCCTGCTCCACCCAGAGGCTACTCCACCTCTGCTGCTGTGACCCGTCCTGCTCCACCCAGAGGCTACTCCACCTCTGCTGCTGTGACCTGTCCTGCTCCACCCAGAAGCTACTCCACCTCTGCTGCTGTGACCCGTCCTGCTCCACCCAGAGGCTACTCCACCTCTGCTGCTGTGACCTGTCCTGCTCCACCCAGAGGCTACTCCACCTCTGCTGCTGTGACCCGTCCTGCTCCACCCAGAAGCTACTCCACCTCTGCTGCTGTGACCCGTCCTGCTCCACCCAGAGGCTACTCCACCTCTGCTGCTGTGACCCGTCCTGCTCCACCCAGAGGCTACTCCACCTCTGCTGCTGTGACCCGTCCTGCTCCACCCAGAGGCTACTCCATCTCTGCTGCTGTGACCTGAAGGGCTGTTGCTTATTATAACTAGCTTTTTAGAATTATCAATTTTAGTTTTGCTGCTACTGGACACCTGAATTTATCCGAGGGGATCAATAAAGTACCTACCTATGTATCTATAAGACATGATTAAAGAACCCCTAACGCCCAAACTTAGATTTAAAAATTGAGGCGTGAGCTTGGTACCATTATCTGCCAGCTGCTGGAGCCAGTCCTGCGAGGCCGGACTCTGCTCCTCCAGCCTGTAGCGGTCCGCCCATCGGAACAGGTCTCGGAGCGTGATGAAGCCGTGTTTTCCTGCAAACACAGAGGACCCCCTGCGGAAAGACTGACACAACCATAAATTAACTCAATGCTCCAGTCTTTTACTACAACAATACTTTTACTGTTGATTGCGCTGGAAACGGCAGCAAGTCCTAAGTAGCTTTGAAACAGACTATTTTAATGTATTTTAAAGTTTATTTGAATAGGGACAGTTCACATTAATCAACATTACTGTAAACGTGTCAGTATTAGTTATACAGCTAGTTTCTAAATGTAGTCCCTCCCGAGGCAAGGTGTAAAATGCCAGGAAGAAACACTGCAAACATGACAAAATAAAATGAACAGGGCATTAAAAACATATAAAAACAAACACAATAGCATACTTCAAATCATAAATGGTTACAATTTGGATTGTCCAATAACCATGTGGGCAAGACCATGTAGACCAGACCAGAGAGGGTGGTTCAAACAAAACAGACTCTGCATACATGACCAGCGTCTACACCACCTCTGCTGCTGCTGCTCTTTGTTAATATTGTTAGTCACTTTTAGAGATAGATTTAGATTATTTCGCATTTTATTATTCTTTGTATGGATGGAGGTGTTTCTGCTGCTGGACCCGTCTTTCTCTTGGATCAATAAAGTATCTATCTGCAAGAGCAGTCTGAGCTTTACCTGCAGATCCAGCATGACTTTGACCAGTTTGCTGCAGTAGGACGGGGGGAGGCGGCAGCGCTGGTGCAGGATCGTCTCCAACTCTGCACTGGGAAGTTCATCGAAGTGAAGCTCCACGAAGCGGTTTCTGAAAGCCCTGGACAACACCTGTGTTTGAAATCACAGCACAGATTCTCATTATTCAGTGTCCCCAAACCTGCATCTCTCCACAGTTACCACAGAAGGACCTCAAGGTGAGACAGATACATGTGCGTAGTGTAATTTGGCTGCAGAAAACAATGCACCCACAAACATCCTACCCCTATATAAAAACTGAAAATAACGGAGAATAACTATACATTAGCATACATTAGGAGAAGACACAGGTTGTTCTTGAGCTTGAAGAAGAACAAATATGCATTAAATCCGTCCATTTAAAATTATAGAAGCCTTTTATTTTGTCATTTCATGTTTTATAATGTGAAATAATATCTCAAGTAGAAAATGTATAATGAAACAAGAACAAATTCTTTCCACCTGTAACTCCCTTTGCAGCCACCAGAGGGACGAGTAACATTTTGACAGACATTTGATGGTGAAGACATGGCAAGAAATTACCAAAAGAGAAAACGAGCAGAAAATTACTTAGTTATTGTATTTTATGGCACAAAAGCTTTGCAGAAATATTTAAGATTGTATTTAAAAGCACTTTTTATTATAATAAGGGACAATATATTTGCTCCTGTATTTCTCGTCACAACGGTAAAGGTATCTGTGCCTTTCTCATAAACGAGTGTGTGATCAGGACCTAATGAACGCTCTAATTTTGGGATGTCTGAAGACCACCAAAGTCGAGATTGCATGAAAGCGGCATGAGAAAGGAGCTTTCAGACAGACTTTAAATGGCGTAGTCACACCAATCTCCGCCGTTAAAACTAATGTGACATCACTTTCGCCGACTGCAGGGCTTTTCAAAATCTGCACGAGCCCCATTCAGTGCATTCAAAATTCCACAGCGACTAAACTAGACTGGATCAAAAACGTACACTCCCCTCAGCATTGACACATGTGGAACGGAGCTTTGGACCGAGAGCCACTTTTGGACCAAGAGCCACTTTTGGACCAAGAGCCACTTTTGGACCAAGAGCCACTTTTGGACCAAGAGCCACTTTTGGACCGAGAGCCACTTTTGGACCAAGAGCCACTTTTGGACCAAGAGCCACTTTTGGACCAAGAGCCACTTTTGGACCAAGAGCCACTTTTGGACCAAGAGCCACTTTTGGACCAAGAGCCACTTTTGGACCAAGAGCCACTTTTGTACCAAGAGCCACTTTTGGACCAAGAGCCACTTTTGGACCAAGAGCCACTTTTGGACCAAGAGCCACTTTTGGACCGAGAGCCACTTTTGGACCAAAAGCAACTTTTGGACCAAGAGCAACTTTTGGACCAAGAGCAACTTTTGGACCAGGAGCCACTTTTGGACCATCCTGTAAAGTCGTTTGGTCCTCCACCCCCACAGGCCCGGGGTGGTGTTGCAGCATTTCAGCGCACATCATTTTGGACATTTTTGAGCCAGGACCCGCCCCCAGTGAGTTACACATTTGTGCCAGAAGTTCCTAATATTGAGCTAGCGTGGATCCATCCAAGCTCGCTCTAAAACGCCAATTTTGCATACGTCTCCTCCACGTTTTTATTTCCTTCAGAAAACATCCTACCTTCCTCCCTCCGTACACTCCAGGGGGGTTCTGCGTGGCAAACAGCATGAATCTGGGGTGGGCTTTCACGACTTCTTGTGTCTCTGCCACAAACAACTCCCTGTTGTCGTCCAGGAGTCTGTTCAGAGCCTCCAGCACGTCTGTGGGCGCCAAGTTCAGCTCGTCCAGAATGATCCAGTAGCCCTTCCTCATGGCATCAATCAGCACACCTGCACACACGTTACACCCGGAAACTAAAACCCGACAACTGAAATGTGTTTGTTGTATATGAGCAATCTTAGAGCGTATCTTAGGCGCCCAGACCTCCCTCTCCACACACACTTCCTGCAGCTCATCTGGGCGAATCCTAAAGCGTTCCCAGGCCAGAGAGAGACATAGTCCCTCTAACATGTCCTGGGTGAGAATGTAGATTGACCAAAACAATTGTGAATTATGTATTTGAATAATATCTTTTCTTTTAATTGATCTGTAAGGCCAGCAGCACATTAGTTATAGTGGTGCAGAATGATACCACTTTCACTAGAAACACACTGGTTTTAAGCTTGACTAACCCTCTTTGAAGACCAGTTTTCCTCTCTGGTCGGAGGAGTAGCAGCCGATGTACTCCTGGATGTCCGTGTGCTCGTGGTTGTTGATTCTGACGCACTGGTTTCCTGTGACTGTAGCGAGCCAGCGGATCAGACTGGTCTTCCCCACGGACGTCTCTCCCTGGATCAGCACCGGGTGAGTCCTGGCAAAAACATGTCACAGCCACATTAGACGCACAAGACTGAAAAACACACAGAGATGCAAGGTCCTTACCCTGCAGACACCACCCGGGCCAAGTCCCGCAGGTTGAGTTTGACTGAAGCGGTGAGGATATAAGAGGGGTCCTGTGTGGGCTCTAGGTCCCCCTGAGAGACCCAATACCCCTCCACCTCCACACAGCTGCGGTCCGTGGGGCAGGGGATGGGCTGAAGGACACAGAATAACTCTATAATAAAGAACAATAATAACTTTGCAACCATCCCTAGAGCTTTCATCCTTCATGGGCCAATCCATTTTGTTTTGATTGGTTACCATAATAGAAAAACTAGCTTATTATAATACTCTTGTGTAGAATTGATTTTCCCCCACCACTGGTATGTATTTGTATGTACAATAATACAGTCATCTGGTACCTGTTTTAGGCACTTTGTGTTCCCCATCAGAATGTGGTGAGAGACCAGCTTCTGCACCACAGGGTGAGAAACTCTGTCCAGCTGCGTCAAGAAGCTCATGCAGAAGCCCTGTAAACAGAAAGAGTGGACTGTAAACCCATGCAGAGGTGTGTGTGTCCGACGGCAGAATAAGAAGTAGATAAGTACCTCATAAAGCGATCGATGGAGGCTGTAGCAGGGATTGTTACGCACATATCTGAGAGCTCTGCACAGAGTCCGAAGACTGTAGTGAGGTCTGTGGCCTGTGCCGTCCACCAGACGGGAGCCGGCCTCCTTTCTCACCGCCAAGTAAAAACTGCATTTTGGATAAATAAACATCAGTACATTAAGTCTCCATCCAGGCTGCAGGAGGGGTGTCGAACCAGTCCTCAAAGGGTAGTGTGGCTGCAGGTTTTATTCTAACAAGCAGGAGCACACCAGACTCCACCCATTTCTAAAGTGAGTCTAGTGTGAACCTGAAGACTTCAAAGAAATGGGCAGCGAGATACAGTATAAGTACAATATCCGTGAACCTCCGTGATGCAGGTCATGGAGCAAAGTGATGGATTTTGTCTGTGTTACTGCATAGTGTTTGTTTTATGTATACTTCTCAATGTTGCGAAGCGTCCAAGATACATTTCCTACTGGACACAATATATGAATCTTAAATCTTGACTCTCGTGTGTCAGTGTATAGTGAAGAAGAGTTTGAAATCACCTTATGATGCCGCTGATGATATTTCTGTTTGGGTTTAGACATCGGAGGTAGTCAGACACTAAAATGCGGAGGTCGGCCTCGTTCTCCAGCTCACTCACGTACAGCTCGGTGAATCTGGACAGGCACAAATGTCACTGTGAGATTATTGGACGTTAAAGTAAAAGAAGAAAATACACCAAAAGAACTTGCCTGTTTCTGAGGCCGAGAGGCAGGTTTCTTTTGCCGACATCAGTGGCAGGATTCATGCACGCGAACAAGCGGAAGTCTGGATGGCGAACCAGGGGCTCTACCACAGACAAAGGTTCAGTTTGTTTGCCATTTACAGTAAAACCACATTGGAATACATTTGCAAAAGTCCCCAGTGTGCACCAGACAAGTACACACATAAAACAAGCTAAAAAAGTGCAGGAATCAACAAAAACAGTTTAAAAAAGAGCGTAAGATTATCAAAGTGCTCTGTTCAGACTAATTAGAGTTTGTGGAAAGAAGCTGCATATCCAGATGTCCTGCATCTCAGTGAACGATATCTTCTGCCAGAGGGAAGAAGCTGGAACATGGCTTTTCCAGTTGCCAGAAGAGTCCATGACTATTTTAAGAGTCGGGAAACATAAAGAACCTCTGGTCTCTCTCTCTCCCCCTCTGGTCTCTCTCCCCCTCTGGTCTCTCTCCCCCTCTGGTCTCTCTCCCCCTCTGGTCTCTCTCCCCCTCTGGTCTCTCTCCCCCTCTGGTCTCTCCCCCCCTCTGGTCTCTCTCCCCCTCTGGTCTCTCTCTCCCCCTCTGGTCTCTCTCTCCCCCTCTGGTCTCTCTCTCCCCCTCTGGTCTCTCTCTCCCCCTCTGGTCTCTCTCTCCCCCTCTGGTCTCTCTCTCTCCCTCTGGTCTCTCTCTCCCTCTGGTCTCTCTGGTCTCTCTCTGGTGTCTCTCTCTCCCTCTGGTCTCTCTCTCCCTCTGGTGTCTCTCTCCCTCTGGTCTCTCTCTCCCTCTGGTCTCTCTCTCCCTCTGGTCTCTCTCTCCCTCTGGTCTCTCTCTCCCTCTGGTCTCTCTCTCCCTCTGGTCTCTCTCTCCCTCTGGTCTCTCTCTCCCTCTGGTCTCTCTCTCCCTCTGGTCTCTCTCTCCCTCTGGTCTCTCTCTCCCTCTGGTCTCTCTCTCCCTCTGGTCTCTCTCTCCCCCTCTGGTCTCTCTCCCCCTCTGGTCTCTCTCCCTCTGGTCTCTCTCTCCCTCTGGTCTCTCTCTCCCCCTCTGGTCTCTCTCCCCCTCTGGTCTCTCTCCCTCTGGTCTCTCTCTCCCTCTGGTCTCTCTCTCCCTCTGGTCTCTCTCTCTCAGTGTGTAGTAGCCCTGACCTGCGTCCCCTCGGTCCAGTAGAACCAGAGACCCAGTGCTGCTCTCCAACAGCCCACTCAGACACTCCAGAGTCTCGGCCGCTGCCAGGTTAATCTCATCCAGAAGAATCCAGTGGCCTTTCTTCACAGCCTGGGCCAGAGTTCCCTTTAGACAAACACAGAACAGATGAGCACACTATGGTTCTGCCACAACCAAAAGCTAACGGAGGACACAGAACAAATCAAAAAGGTTGAAGAAGTTTGGATAGACAGGACAATGATTGACTATGGGTTTCTACAAATGTAAACCGTCATATCTCTCTCTGACTGGCTTCCCTCTCTCTCTCTCTCTGGCCTCTCTCTCTGGCCTCTCTCTCTCTCTGGCTGGCCTCTCTGGCCTCTCTCTCTCTGGCTGGCCTCTCTGGCCTCTCTCTCTCTCTCTCTGGCCTCTCTCTCTCTCTCTCTGGCCTCTCTCTCTCTGGCCTCTCTCTCTCTGGCCTCTCTCTCTCTGGCCTCTCTCTCTCTGGCCTCTCTCTCTCTGGCCTCTCTCTCTGGCCTCTCTCTCTGGCCTCTCTCTCTGGCCTCTCTCTCTGGCCTCTCTCTCTGGCCTCTCTCTCTGGCCTCTCTCTCTGGCCTCTCTCTCTGGCCTCTCTCTCTCTGGCCTCTCTCTCTGGCCTCTCTCTCTGGCCTCTCTCTCTGGCCTCTCTCTCTGGCCTCTCTCTCTGGCCTCTCTCTCTGGCCTCTCTCGCTGATCTCTCTCTCTGATCTCTCTCTCTGATCTCTCTCTCTGATCTCTCTCTCTCTGATCTCTCTCTCTCTCTGATCTCTCTCTCTCTCTGATCTCTCTCTCTGATCTCTCTCTGATCTCTCTCTGGCCTCTCTCTGGGAGAATTCAATGGTTTTGTTTAGTCCTTTCAGATAACTACTGACGTCATATGCTCCATCACGTTCTCTCAAGTGTTTTAAGTGTTTGTTCTCATTGGCTTTTAATTGATTTTGATTTTTTGCTGTAAATAGTGTGTTTTTTGCCACTGCTTTGTATTTTCTAATTGTATATATTTTTTGTCTTTTTATGTACAGCACTTTGGTCAACCTTATAGTTGTTATTAGTGCTTTATAAATAAACTGGACTGGCTACGGTTGTGAATTAGGCGGTTGTGAATCTGGCCCAAAAAGAAATTGGATTGAAAAGTGTAGTAGCTGATTCTCTATTAGCTTTGATCATTTACCTCGACAAATGCGAAGACCATGGCTGTCTCACAGGCCTGGACTTGCTCTGAAATGTGTTGGAGTCTGGTGGACATCTCGTCCCACTTCTGTTTCACGTCTGAAACTGAAGACATCACAAAGTAAAGCCACCTCCAGACATTTTTATAATCATTTTTAAATATATGTTCTTTCTTTACCATTGGATTTGTCCTTCAGTTCTTTGTTGAGGCCAGACTTGCAGACGTGCTCCATGAGTTTGAGGAGGTCCTGCCAACGCTTCTCCCTGTAGCAGGTCTGCATGTGGCCCAGAAAGGTCAGGTTCTGTTTCCTGGAAAAGGTCCGAGAGAAGAGCTCCTCGAAAGCCTCACGCAGAGGAAGAAGGATCTGAGTATGATCCACTGGTTTATACCTACAACACATAAAACACACACGCTTAATACAGAGCTATATAAAACCGATGCATTATCATAACTCAGCGGTGTCAAATCGGTGCTCGAGGGGCCGGTGTGGGTGCAGGTTTTCATTCCACACAAGCTGGAGTGAGCCTAGTCTAGACCTGAAGACTTGAGGAAATGGCTGAAGTCTGGTTTGCTCCTGCTTGGTTGGAATAAACACCTGCTGCCACAAAAGGAGGAGGTGAGAGACAGGAGGGGCCAAAGTCACCTCCTTCATGGACAGCACCTCCCACAGGACTGAGGAGGAGCTGAGGAGCAGGGCCTTTATCCCCACCACTGTCAGACTGTACAATAAGTCACTTTAAGTCACTACAGCACTAGGACCTGCTGCTATTGCCACTTTTTATTGTACATAATTATATCCTGCACTGTCTATACTTTTAACCTTAAACATGTTGCACACTTCTGTCTTTTGCACAATCTGAGACACAGCGGGGAAATGTCAGTGTTGCAAGACCAGTTACAGAACAGTAGGAATGAAGATATGTTTGTATTAAGGTGTTTCTGTGGGACTTAAACATTTGTTTTTACTGTGAATATATTGTAACACGATCAACACGTTCAGAGAGTATTGGTCAAACAATGTATTCTATTGTTCAATATTTTTTATACTGAAGTAAGTAGTAAGTAATCTTTATTTATATACCGCCTTTTCACTGCACATCGGAGTCTCAAAGCGGTTTACAATTGTGATTTTTGGGAGTGGGGCCAGTACAGGAGGCACATGCCAGACCTATTGTATATATTTTTAGTGGTAGGGGAAACCGGAGCACCCGGAAGAAACCTACGCAGACACGGGGAGAACATGCAAACTCCACTCAGAAAGGCCCTGGTCCAACGGGGATTTGAACCCAGGACCTTCTTGCTGAGAGGCGAGAGTGCTATCCACTCAGCCACCGTGCCGCCCGAAGAAATCAAATACTTTGGCACAGATTCTGCCTTTTACCAAAATAACATAAAATCTCTATCTTTAGCTTGATAATAACTTTAATCAGGAAAAATACAATAAGTTACCCTCCGAGCAGGTCTGCAGTGTCGCTCTGCTGGTTCATGTTGACAACCCGCAGCCTATGACCTGCTCCACACAAAACAACCAGATGTTAGAACACACGGTTACTTTGTTACTTTGAAGGCTACATGTCAGTCATTGTCTGTGGGGGGTCCGACCTGTGAGCTGGGCCAGGTGCTGCACGGTGGAGGTTTTCCCAGTACCGGTCTCTCCCACCAACAAAACCGGCTCAGATTTGTCCACACACACCGCCAACTGCTCCAGAAGAACGGCCGAGGGACGCGTGGCCGCAAACGTTTGCTGATTACTGCAACAGGAAGTAGAAGATTAAAAAACATTGGACATAAATGATAAGAAAGTGGATTTATACAGCGTGGTTATAATCCTCTCTCTCCACACAGTGATGGAAGTCTCGGGGAGTCTAGGGGAAACCGGAGCACTTGGAGGAAACCTATGCGGATACAGGGAGAACACTCCACAAGTTCTTACTCCTGCCGCCAATAACAGCAATTGTCAAAAATTCAATGCATGTAGAAACATACTATTGTTTTCAACCCACATACTCCAACTGCAGAGGCTACTCCACCTCTGCTGCTGTGACCCGTCCTGCTCCACCCAGAGGCTACTCCACCTCTGCTGCTGTGACCCGTCCTGCTCCACCCAGAGGCTACTCCACCTCTGCTGCTGTGACCCGTCCTGCTCCACCCAGAGGCTACTCCACCTCTGCTGCTGTGACCCGTCCTGCTCCACCCAGAGGCTACTCCACCTCTGCTGCTGTGACCTGTCCTGCTCCACTCAGAGGCTACTCCACCTCTGCTGCTGTGACCCGTCCTGCTCCACCCAGAGGCTACTCCACCTCTGCTGCTGTGACCTGTCCTGCTCCACCCAGAGGCTACTCCACCTCTGCTGCTGTGACCCGTCCTGCTCCACCCAGAGGCTACTCCACCTCTGCTGCTGTGACCTGTCCTGCTCCACCCAGAGGCTACTCCACCTCTGCTGCTGTGACCCGTCCTGCTCCACCCAGAGGCTACTCCACCTCTGCTGCTGTGACCTGTCCTGCTCCACCCAGAGGCTACTCCACCTCTGCTGCTGTGACCCGTCCTGCTCCACCCAGAAGCTACTCCACCTCTGCTGCTGTGACCCGTCCTGCTCCACCCAAAGGCTACTCCACCTCTGTTGCTGTGACCCGTCCTGCTCCACCCAGAAGCTACTCCACCTCTGTTGCTGTGACCCGTCCTGCTCCACCCAGAGGCTACTCCACCTCTGCTGCTGTGACCCGTCCTGCTCCACCCAGAGGCTACTCCACCTCTGCTGCTGTGACCCGTCCTGCTCCAACCAGAAGCTACTCCACCTCTGCTGCTGTGACCCGTCCTGCTCCACCCAGAAGCTACTCCACCTCTGCTGCTGTGACCCGTCCTGCTCCAACCAGAAGCTACTCCACCTCTGCTGCTGTGACCCGTCCTGCTCCACCCAGAAGCTACTCCACCTCTGCTGCTGTGACCCGTCCTGCTCCACCCAGAAGCTACTCCACCTCTGCTGCTGTGACCCGTCCTGCTCCACCCAGAGGCTACTCCACCTCTGCTGCTGTGACCCGTCCTGCTCCACCCAAAGGCTACTCCACCTCTGCTGCTGTGACCCGTCCTGCTCCACCCAAAGGCTACTCCACCTCTGCTGCTGTGACCTGTCCTGCTCCACCCAGAGGCTACTCCACCTCTGCTGCTGTGACCTGTCCTGCTCCACCCAGAAGCTACTCCACCTCTGCTGCTGTGACCCGTCCTGCTCCACCCAGAAGCTACTCCACCTTTGCTGCTGTGACCCGTCCTGCTCCACCCAAAGGTTACTCCACCTCTGCTGCTGTGACCAGTCCTGCTCCACCCAAAGGCTCCTCCACCTCTGCTGCTGTGACCCGTCCTACTCCACCCAGAAGCTACTCCACCTCTGCTGCTGTGACCTGTCCTGCTCCACCCAGAGGCTACTCCACCTCTGCTGCTGTGACCGGCCTGCTCCAACCAGAAGCTACTCCACCTCTGCCGCTGTGACCCGTCCTGCTCCACCCAAAGGCTACTCCACCTCTGCTGCTGTGACCTGTCCTGCTCCACCCAGAAGCTACTCCACCTCTGCTGCTGTGACCCGTCCTGCTCCACCCAGAGGCTACTCCACCTCTGCTGCTGTGACCCGTCCTGCTCCACCCAGAAGCTACTCCACCTCTGCTGCTGTGACCCGTCCTGCTCCACCCAGAAGCTACTCCACCTCTGCTGCTGTGACCCGTCCTGCTCCAACCAGAAGCTACTCCACCTCTGCCGCTGTGACCCGTCTTGCTCCACCCAGAAGCTACTCCACCTCTGCTGCTGTGACCCGTCCTGCTCCACCCAGAGGCTACTCCACCTCTGCTGCTGTGACCTGTCCTGCTCCACCCAAAGGCTACTCCACCTCTGCTGCTGTGACCTGTCCTGCCCCACCCAAAGGCTACTCCACCTCTGCTGCTGTGACCCGTCCTGCTCCACCCAGAGGCTACTCCACCTCTGCTGCTGTGACCCGTCCTGCTCCACCCAGAGGCTACTCCACCTCTGCTGCTGTGACCCATCCTGCTCCACCCAGAAGCTACTCCACCTCTGCTGCTGTGACCCGTCCTGCTCCACCCAGAGGCTACTCCACCTCTGCTGCTGTGACCCGTCCTGCTCCACCCAGAGGCTACTCCACCTCTGCTGCTGTGACCCGTCCTGCTCCACCCAGAGGCTACTCCACCTCTGCTGCTGTGACCCGTCCTGCTCCACCCAAAGGCTACTCCACCTCTGCTGCTGTGACCCGTCCTGCTCCACCCAGAAGCTACTCCACCTCTGCTGCTGTGACCCGTCCTGCTCCACCCAGAGGCTACTCCACCTCTGCTGCTATGACCTGAAGCTGTAGCTGATTATCACTATTTTCAGCTTTTTAGAATGATACATTTTATTTTTGCTGCGTTTTTTGTTGTTGTTGCTGTGTTTTAGCGCCTTCTGTGATCCTGCCGTTTATACAGTAAGTGTGGGTAAATAATATTGCCTTTGTAAAACCATATATGATTACAAGGATTGACCAATCAGATGCCCTTTCCCCGGTCATAAAAGGACTTATTATATATCAACATTAAAGCCAATTTAATACAATTCTTAACATTTGTAATTCATTTAGAGTTCCAGACTATCACTTTAATGTTGGTTACCGTTATGTGTGATATAACAGTCGTGTCCTGTCGCGTTCCCCAGCTCTAGACATGACTTTGGAAACATTCAATATGATTTTTTGGCCTGTGCTGAGGCAGGAACCATTAGATCAACTTACTTTCCATAATGTCCCGCCAAAAATCAATAGTTGGTTTATTCAGCATCGCAGTGGAGTGGTTTTCCAAAGTGTGTGCGGTGAGCTAATGCGTATTTGGTGTAACGCGGGGTCAGAGGACGCGGTGGAGCCGGATGTCCCACTTACACATTCAGTTGGACTACTTCAGCCTGCTTTCGATTCAGAGCCACTCGTCCCACTGTGGCCTCCCGCTCCCCCAGAGTCAGAGCAGGCTGGTACTGCTCACAGAAGTGCTGGGCCTGGACACAGAACACCAGATTATTATACACCAGGAGTGGGCTCATTCTCATATGGTTTGCTTTTTATTTTTTGCTTTTTAACAACATTTTTGAAGTGAAGCAGTTAAAAAAAAATATATAAACATTTAAAATACTATTTATTCTTGTATTTCCCTAAATCACAACAACATCATCTCAGAGACTTCACAAAACCATTGAAATCACCAACACAGAACACATGGTATTGGACCATAAGGAGAGACCACATGGTATTGGACCATAAGGAGAGACCACATGGTATTGGACCATAGAGAGAGACCACATGGTATTGGACCATAAGGAGAGACCACATGGTATTGGACCATAAGGAGAGACCACATGGTATTGGACCATAAGGAGAGACCACATGGTATTGGACCATAAGGAGAGACCACATGGTATTGGACCATAAGGAGAGACCACATGGTATTGGACCATAGAGAGAGACCACATGGTATTGGACCATAGAGAGAGACCACATGGTATTGGGCCATAGAGAGAGACCACATGGTATTGGGCCATAGAGAGAGACCACATGGTATTGGGCCATAGAGAGAGACCACATGGTATTGGGCCATAGAGAGAGACCACATGGTATTGGACCATAAGGAGAGACCACATGGTATTGGACCATAAGGAGAGACCACATGGTATTGGACCATAGAGAGACCACATGGTATTGGACCATAGAGAGAGACCACATGGTATTGGGCCATAGAGAGACCACATGGTATTGGGCCATAGGGAGAGACCACATGGTATTGGGCCATAGAGAGAGACCACATGGTATTGGGCCATAGAGAGAGACCACATGGTATTGGGCCATAAGGAGAGACCACATGGTATTGGACCATAGAGAGAGACCACATGGTATTGGACCATAGAGAGAGACCACATGGTATTGGACCATAGAGAGAGACCACATGGTATTGGGCTATAGAGAGAGACCACATGGTACTGGACCATAGGAAGAGACCACATGGTATTGAATGTTGATAATATACATATGTGGACATTTGTAAACTGTGTCGTCTTTTGAAGCTTTTTTAATGGGAGCATTTTTGAGGACATTATTATTTGATCAAAGAGGGATATTATTAAATCCTACACTTTTTATTTTAGGAATCGCTCCAAAGTAATGATATATTTGTGTCTTTTGCAAATGACAATTCACTATAGTTTTATTATGTGGCAAAATGTCGATTCATATCTGGGAAGGTTTGAGGTTTGTTCTGTGTGTGGGAGGTTGCTTTGTTTTTTGTCTTCTATTTTAATGTTTTCATCTTTGTCTAACACCAGATGCTGTCAAACCGTTCTGATTGTACTATATCCATCTATAATCAATAAACACATTTTTATAAACAGAAATATGGATATTATTTGTTAATGGTCTTGAGGACGGGTGAATGTTGCAGACCTTCATTGATTCCCATTCATTTAAATGGGGGATCCAGTGGACTGCTTGCATATGGAAACTGTTCGAGGGCCATATAAAAATGTGAATTGGGCCGTGTGCAGCCCCCGGGCCGCACTTTTCCCAGGTCTAGTCCCAACAAGAAGGATCTGGGGAGTAACAGGTTATTAGCATTCGTTACCTTTTCTTTGGAAATGTTTAGCTTGCTGCCAATAATCTCGGCCATTTGCAGGCGACTCTCAGGGCGAGACAGCATAGACGTGAAGCAGTCCAGAGCCTGAAAACACAGAGGATACTAACCAAACTGAAACAATAATGTAGGTAAAGCCCCATTTCCACCAGCCCGGATTGGTCCTATTCTACTCAGCTCTACCTGGTTGTGATTCCATTACGGTTTAGTATCTGGAACCATATTCTAGCAATGTACCAACAACCAACCAGTATCCGTGTCTTCCAGCAGCACTCTGGCCAATCACAGACAGTTAGAACACTTTAGAACCAGATTGGATAGAACCAGGACTAGAAAAGTACCGTTAAACAGGGCTGGTGCAAGTGCTTCCAATAGGGGTAGAGTAGGGACAAGTAGGGATGGTGGAAACAGGGCTATTGTCTTTCACCACTAATGGCTGGGACCACTTTAGTCCCATTCATCTATGTTTCTCTATATTCAAATGAATCCCAAATGCCAAAACTATCCTCCACAAACCTCTTGGAAGACATTTTGAGCTGTCGCTGCAGATGTGCTGTTGAAGTTGACACTGATGCGCTCACACCATTTTAATAAGTCCCTGCAAAAGAAAATAATATTCAGTCATTAGGATTATAGAAGCTAAGATTTAGAAATGCAAATGTATCTTTTAAACATACTGTGATTACTTTTATTTATTACACGCTCCTCACAGCAGCAGGAGAACGCTCCAATTTCAAAACGTTCTACTGCTCATTATTTCTTGATAACTGACCTCTCAAAACAATAATGACCGCTGCCCTTTGGCGAGATGTGTAGATTACTCCGCAAGTAGTTCCGGGCACTTCGTCGCTACTACTGTCTCATCCGGTTTCAATGCAGAGTCTACGGTGGCGCGCGTTCGACCGTCACAACGCACAGACCTCTCGGTTCGCACGAACGGACTGTTCAATAATGACGCACGGACTTGGCGGGAAAGTGAAAAGGGAGGAGCAGGAGCGAAAAATCAAGGCCCACAGGAGATGGATTCGGCTCATCCTTTCCTTGGGACGTTCGTGCGACAACCAATCAGAGAGCAGCAAAGTGGTCACGGGGACATCAGCGGACTGAGAGAGCAGACTGAAAATACTGTAAACAGCTAAAACAGGACTCACACCAGACTTCACCAGAACTCAAACCAGGGCTGACAATGGAGGACTCTGTGAACATCTGTGTTGTCATGCTCCTGTGACCTTATGCAACGGCTTCCAGTGTGTTCGCCGATGAGGAAATACTGTTTAATAATATAAAAAAACGTATGGCGCACCTCCGTGAACACATACTGCTGTTATATAAAGTCACCTCCGTGAACACATACTACTGTTATATAAAGTCACCTCCGTGAACACATACTGCTGTTATATAAAGTCACCTCCGTGAACACATACTGCTGTTATATAAAGTCACCTCCGTGAACACATACTGCTGTGATATAAAGTCACTGTGAACACATACTGCTGTTATATAAAGTCACCTCCGTGAACACACACTGCTGTTATATAAAGTTACCTCCGTGAACACATACTACTGTTATATAAAGTCACCTCCGTGAACACATACTGCTGTTATATAAAGTCACCTCCGTGAACACATACTGCTGTTATATAAAGTCACCTCCGTGAACACATACTGCTGTTATATAAAGCCCATGGAATGTCTGTGAGCAAAGACACGCTGCAAAGCTGCATATTGGAGAAGATCTGTGCACAAGAAGCCGCTAGCATAGCTCTGTTAGCATCAGAGCCGGCTACTTCCGGTACTTCCGGCTCTCGTCAGGACGTTCTGGTGTGAAGACCTCTGCGTCTGAAAACTAGAGAATGCGCGTCTGGGGAGTGAGGCTTCAGCGTTTCAGCGTTGGCGTCTGAAAGCACCATCAGAGAGAAAAGCTTTCGGAGCCGCGTTCAATAAACGCAAATACCATTTAATCAACACATTTAAACGTTAATCAGAGAATACATTATACATCTACATTCTTAACACACGTGCACGGAGGCTTTCAGAAGTATCCGTTTCATGACAAAAAATACTGTTTTAATGTGAGAGAAAGCGATAGCGGTGAACCCAGAAGTTACTATAAACATTAGTAGAACATTTCAGGAACATTTGCAGAGGATGGAATTATGGATTCAGGTTGAGTTTGTGTTTGGGTCACTCACCGCTGATGTTCAGGATTCTTTGTTCAGTTTTCTTTGTAGAGTTCTAGTTTGGAAGATGCTAGCCTAATTATTACTAGCATAGCCACGGGAAAACCTTTGGGAACTATTCTATTTGCAGTCATTTAATAAACCTTTCGGCATTCATTAAAGTGACTGAAGTTTATTTTTTGTGTGTGTTCGGTACAAAGCCGGTATAATAAGCGGGATAATGCTCCGCCCTGTCGGTACTTATTTTCCGATAACGAACTGCGTACTACACATTATCTCTTACATATTTATCTTCTGTGTATAATTGCTTCCATCTTGTTTTGTTAAATGCACTAAACAAACTTGCCTTAGCATTTATATTCTTGTTTAATGTTCACTGACACTATACAGTATTTTTGATGCAGTGTTTAGATCTCACCTGAGCGACAGAGCCCGACCCTCCAAAAGGCCGGATCGCGCCTCCTCGGGTCCAGGTGGACTCTGGGACTGGAGGAGGGGTTCTGGTTCCGAGTGCCGGTCTCCAGTGAGCTGACAGTAGATGTCCAGGAGCCGATCACAGACCACAGACAGTTGTGGGTATCGAGTGATGACCACCTGTACGCAACAGAGGAGCAGAATTTTTTTTTTTTATTTCAGACAACACAGTCACCAAACATACACTCACAATAGGTACACACAAAACATACAATACACAAAACATACAACACATAACACAAAAACCCACTAACCAGGCAATATTAAAACAAATACACAAGCTGCAGATGGGATAGACGCAGTAAACAGGTCAGACAAAAGACAAAAGAACTGAAAAAGTGGAGCAGAGAATTCATCTGATCAATAATTCATTTGGAAACTGATAGAAATCTTCTTGTAAAGCAATCTGAATTAACATACAACAGCTGTAAGTGTGAGTTATTAACTAAAAGTCCACTCTGTTGTCATCAAGGTCAGTGATAGATGGAGACGAGCTGCATCATGTCTTTGACCTCATCTGGGTCAAAAAACAATGTGTTCGGGTCAAATCAGATTATTACGAGAGTTGTCTCAGAGTGAGGACGCGTACATATAGAGTAGGGATGTACCGATCCGATATTCAGTATCAGTATCAGGGCCCGATATGGGGATTTTGTAAGGATCGGATAATATCGGATTTTTATTTTATTTTATTTATTTGTTTCAATTGTGGACAAAAACAATACTACACATATTACAATTACATTTCAAATAATTGTCGTCTTGTCGCACAAATGAAAAGGAGCAGAAAGAAGAAAAACAAAATCTTATGTTGCCTTTTTAACATGGATTTGTTAAATATGAAGCCGATTTACGTCACTTTTCAGCAGCTCACGCTTTAAGGCTGCCGTAAACTAAATACAATGTAAAGCTACGTCTGGGCGAGAAAACGACAACGAGAGATATTGTGATAGACACGTGTTCGATATCAGTAGAAAACGGGGTCTCAGGCGGCTGCCCGGTGCTAATAAATAAACTCACACACAGCTCTTGGTTGTTTACATTATTTTTGCTCTCGGTCTGTCCAGAATTTCCACAACAAACCACAGAATTCAGACAGAAGAAGAAGAGACTGACCTTCTTAAGTTCCTCTCGGGGCATGTTTCTCATTTGGAGCTTTGTCCAGTATTTATCCAACAGCGTCGCGTGTGAAGCGTGTGGTTTGTGCCAACTCCCGCTGCTGAAATACATCCTGGAAACATGGGATCAAACATTCCTTAGAAAGAACCATACACTGCAGGATTGAAGCGTTTACATGCAGACTATAAACAAACCAACTGTAAATCTGTGTCTGGTAAATGCAGAACGGAACTATTAGCACGCTGTATGTTCAAGTAAGTAAAGTTTATTTATATAGCGCATTTCACAGACCAGGATCGCAAGGCGCTTCACAGATTAAAACACAGAAAATACACATATAAGTCAGAGATTAAAACAAAAACACAGAAAAACAGTTCACAGAGGCCTATGACCAGTGAGGCAGGAAGGCCTGTCTAAACAACCAACAGGTACTGAGTGGGGGACCATCAACAGGTTCTGAGTGGGGGACCATCAACAGGTTCTGAGTGGAGGACCATCAACAGGTTCTGAGTGGAGGACCATCAACAGGTTCTGAGTGGAGGACCATCAACAGGTTCTGAGTGGAGGACCATCAACAGGTTCTGAGTGGAGGACCACCAACAGGTTCTGAGTGGGGGACCATCAACAGGTTCTGAGTGGAGGACCATCAACAGGTTCTGAGTGGAGGACCATCAACAGGTTCTGAGTGGAGGACCACCAACAGGTTCTGAGTGGGGGACCATCAACAAGTTCTGAGTGGGGGACCATCAACAGGTTCTGAGTGGAGGACCATCAACAGGTTCTGAGTGGAGGACCATCAACAGGGTCTGAGTGGAGGACCATCAACAGGGTCTGAGTGGGGGACCATCAACAGGTTCTGAGTGGAGGACCATCAACAGGTTCTGAGTGGAGGACCATCAACAGGTTCTGAATGGAGGACCATCAACAGGTTTTGAATGGAGGACCATCAACAGGTTCTGAATGGAGGACCATCAACAGGTTCTGAGTGGGGGACCATCAACAGGTTCTGAGTGGAGGACCATCAACAGGTTCTGAGTGGGGGACCATCAACAGGTTCTGAGTGGGGGACCATCAACAGGTTCTGAGTGGGGGACCATCAACAGGGACTGAGTGGGGGACCATCAACAGGTTCTGAGTGGGGGACCATCAACAGGTTCTGAGTGGAGGACCATCAACAGGTTCTGAGTGGGGGACCATCAACAGGTTCTGAGTGGGGGACCATCAACAGGTTCTGAGTGGAGGACCATCAACAGGTTCTGAGTGGAGGACCATCAACAGGGTCTGAGTGGAGGACCATCAACAGGTTCTGAGTGGGGGACCATCAACAGGTTCTGAGTGGAGGACCATCAACAGGTTCTGAGTGGAGGACCATCAACAGGTTCTGAATGGAGGACCATCAACAGGTTCTGAATGGAGGACCATCAACAGGTTCTGAATGGAGGACCATCAACAGGTTCTGAATGGAGGACCATCAACAGGTTCTGAATGGAGGACCATCAACAGGTTCTGAGTGGGGGACCATCAACAGGTTCTGAGTGGAGGACCATCAGAATGTTGAGGAACCTACTCACATTCATAACCACACCTTGGACCTTGTCCTGACCTACGGCTGTGATGTCTCCAATGTTGACATCCAGCGTCAAAGCTCGTTGCTGTCTGACCATTTCTTGATCACGTTTGATCTCGATTTGGAGGACTTTCCTGTCCCGCAAGATAAAACCATAATGAAAAGAACCTTAAATGATAAATCTATCACAAGGTTCAAAGAACTAATACAGCCTATGTTGAATACTGCTGCAGGTGAACCTGTTCACAGCTGCTGCAGTCCCTCAGTCATCGACCAAACGGTGGGCAACACTATGGAGTCTTTAAAATCTGCATTAAATGCAGCAGCTCCTTTAAAACAGAAAACTATTAGGATTAGATCATCGTCGCCCTGGTACAGTGTTCAACTCCACACTTTAAAACAGGACGTCAGAAAATTGGAGAGGCTATATCGCCACTCCCACTCGGAGCCTGTCCACAGGGAGTGGAAAGCAGGTCTCCGAAACTATAAGAATGCCCTTCGCAGGGCTCGAACTCAATACTATTCAACTTTAATAGAAGCGAATAAAAATAACAGTAGATTTTTGTTTAGCACCGTCGCTAAACTCACAAACTGCCATAGCGCAATCGAGCCTAAAATACCAAGCTCACTGAGCAGTGTCGACTTTCTCCATTTCTTTAATAATAAAATTACATCCATCCGTGACAAGCTGGAGGAGGTTACTCCTGCTGTTGGTAGTGGACAGGCTGAAGCGGCATACGTGACTTCCCACTTAGACTCTTCAGTGGGCCTCGATAAATTCATGGCTGTGAGCCAAGCAGAGGTGATCTCTGTGGTCACATCCTCAAAAGCCTCAACTTGCATGTTAGACGCAGTCCCGACATGGCTCTTCAAAGACATACTTCCTTTGATAATTGAGCCTATCGTAAATATAATAAACGCATCCATACAATGTGGCTATGTCCCACAAGCTTTTAAAACCGCGGTAATCAAACCCCTTCTGAAGAAAACAAACCTGGACCCAGAAATACTTACAAACTACAGACCGATCTCAAACCTCACTTTTATATCTAAAATCCTGGAAAAACTTATAGCTGAGCAGCTTCGCTGCCACCTGCAGGAAAATAATATGTTTGAAGTCTTTCAATCAGGATTCAGAGCTCATCATAGCACTGAAACAGCACTAGTCAAAGTCACAAATGACTTACTACTAGCTGCCGATAATGGACAAGTGTCAGTGCTGGTCCTACTGGACCTTAGTGCTGCATTTGACACAATAGACCACAGCATTCTACTGCAGAGGCTAGAATGTGATATAGGTCTTAGAGGAACAGCCCTTGGCTGGTTTAAATCCTATTTATCAGATCGGTATCACTTGTCAATGTGAATCAGAACTCGTCACCTTATTCTGGAGTAGAATTCGGTGTGCCGCAGGGTTCGGTACTCGGACCGATTCTTTTTACTCTCTACATGCTGCCATTAGGAAACATTATTAAAAAGCATGGAATTAATTTCCACTGCTATGCAGATGACACCCAGCTTTATCTGTCGATGAAGCCAAATCAGACAGATCAGCTGGAAAAGCTCAGTGCCTGCATAAAGGACCTTAAAATGTGGATGACTCTTAACTTCCTACTTCTCAACCCGGAGAAGACAGAAGTGATCTTACTCGGTCCGAAGCGCCTGCGTGACTCCCTCACTAACCAGATAATTACTCTCGATAATGTCAGTATTATACCCAGTAACACTGTGAAGAATCTTGGAGTCATTTTTGACCAAGAGCTCTCCTTCAAGGCTTATATAAGCCAAGCAACTAAAACGGCGTACTTCCACCTACGGAACATCGCTAAAATTAGGAATTTCCTTCCTAAAAGTGACGCGGAAAAACTCATTCATGCGTTTGTCACCTCAAGACTCGACTGTAACGCTTTATTGGCAGCGTGCCCTAAAGCGTCTTTGAAGAGCTTCCAGCTCGTTCAGAATACAGCAGCTAGGATCTTAACAGGTACCAAAAGGAGGGAGCACATAACTCCGGTGTTAAAATCACTCCACTGGCTCCCTGTGGAGTACAGAATAAAGTTTAAAATCCTTCTCTTAACCCTATATGACCGCGTGCATCGGCGCTGATGCACGCGGTCATGTTTTACAAATCATCACTTTACTCGCGAACGGTATATCATAGCCACTTACTCTTTTTTTCCCCGTGAAGTAGACACTTCAGGCTCCATGAAACTAGTTCCGGATTGTCCGTGTGACGCACAGAGGATATTCTATGTCTATTGGAAAGTCAGTGTCCAATCAGATCTTTGAGCGATGTCATGTGAGATGAAAAATCCAATCGTAACGCTGTTTTTGCTCATGCCGGTGACAAAGATCAGCAGGGAGAGTGATAATTATACCTCCGCATATACAGGTTCGTCTCTATGGTCGAAACTACGGCTGTGATAGTAATTACTAATGCGTAAAAGACTTATTTTATCGGGATTGTGAAAAATGTGAACTCTACTGTTATTCATGTTACTGTAAGCCCTATTACCCGTTGTTGTTGATTTTTTTATTTCACAAAAAGAACCGGAAATGGTCACTTGTGCTCTCGGTCACTTGTGCTCTCAGTCACACAGAGGTGAGAAGTCGCGTCTCCTCTATTTACAGCAGACGCGCACCAGAGACAGACGCACCTAAATCCTCTGTTTCTTTTCGCAAAAGAGTTGTTCAAAATGGCAAAGAAATTCTTTACAACTGAAGAAGCTCTTGATCTAATCTGCGCCAGTGATGAAGATTCAGGGTCTGAGCCAGAAAGTTTTTACACTGATGAAGAGTTTGATTATTGTGATCGCCAGGATCCGGCTGAAGAGTAAGTGTTTTGTTTGTTTTACTTAGTTTCTATTGTTTTACATATTTTACAGCTATGAAGTGTTGATTATTTATATTGACAATGATAGATAAAGTGAAATATGATGTATGTACCACATGTTTTTTTATTTCATTTGTTTTACTTAGTTTCTGTTTTACTTATTTTTCAGCTGTGAAGAGTTTCCACTTCCGTCCACTTCTTCGGCTAGCACCTCCACTGCCTTTGTTCCCCACTTCACACCTCCAACACCTTCACTGCTCCCCTCCCCCACTTCCTCTTCAACAAGGGGCCAAACGACACGTAGAAGCGCATCTACAGGCCGCAGCAGATCTGCAGGCCGCAGCAGATCTACAGGCCGCAGCAGATCTGCAGGCCGCAGCAGATCTGCAGGCCGCAGCAGATCTACAGGCCGTAGCAGATCTCCACCACGGCCCGGGCCTGCACTTGATCAAGCCAGGTGGAACAGTGAACAGGATCCCGACACCAATTGTCAGCCTAAAAAGTTCACACCCAAAAGGAAACCAGGACACCAGCTCCTTACTACCACGTCATATAGTCCATTGGATTTGTTTTCATTGTTTGTGGACAAAAGTGCTGTAGCCAATATCGTCACAAACACAAACAAACAGGCTGCAAAGAACATTGCAAATGGGAAAAAATACAAATGGACGACACTGGATGAAACACAGAGCTATTCAAATTTATTGGACTT